GGGCGCAATGGCCAAGCAAGACTGTATCATCACTTGGTGATGGCAAAAACCTTCACCAATAAAAACGAGAGCACTTTGAAAAAAACAACAGTTTCTTGTACCCTGGGAGAGGAAATTGAAGAAACCCACAGCTGATGGCAGAAAAACTCAGGTCAGTCGATGACATGTTATGAAATCGCAGAAGCTTCTAGAATGATAGGCTGTATCAATAACATTTTACTGTTTATAGGCAAGAAACTTAATGAAAAAATCTATGAATTGAGTTTTGTCACATTAAGCAAAAGTATCAACTTCATCATAGAAAATGTATCTATTATAAAGGCTACTAGGTTGAAAACCACAACTATTGTGAATAATAATCTCAATATGGGTTAATGAGAGAGGACTCAGACAAAGGGAGAAGGTGAAAAAAAATGTTTAATTAATGAGGTTATGAGTCATTGGAAACTCTATTAATTGTACTTGGGAAGATAAAAACATTTACTTCATTTTCAGACTGCTAGCTGCAGCTTTACAGATGGTGCATTGGTTCAGCATCAGGAGTGGGATGGGAAGGAAAGCACAATAACAAGAAAATTGAAAGATGGGAAATTAGTGGTGGTAAGTGTCAAACTGCTGTGTCTTAGCTTCTTGTGTGCATTCGTAGTTCACATAACTGTTCTGTATCACTGATCATTAACAGAACTCAGTTTGGAAGAAAAAAATAACAAGTTAAATACTAGAACACTGATTTTTTGAGACAGAGTCTCGCTCTGTCGCCCAGGCTGGAGTGCAGTGGCCGGATCTCAGCTCACTGCGAGCTCCGCCTCCTGGGTTCACGCCATTCTCCTGCCTCAGCCTCCCGAGTAGCTGGGACTACAGGCGCCCGCCACCTTCGCCCGGCTAGCCTTTTGTATTTTTTTAGTAGAGACGGGGTTTCACCGTGTTAGCCAGGATGGTCTCGATCTCCTGACCTCGTGATCCACCTGTCCCAGCCTCCCAAAGTGCTGGGATTACAGGCTGGAGCCACTGTACCCGGCCAGGAACACTGATTATTAAGAAAGTCCTAGTGGAGATAGAGAAGTGACATGACATAGCAGAGGATTTGGCTGGCGTCTGGGGGAGTTCTTGCTTTGCTGCCACATTACAGTGAAATCTTGGCAAGCCCCCAAACTGCTCTCTTAGACACACATTTTTCGGTATCTTTAAGGAATATTTGCCATGACCAAAAGAATAAAGATATATTCAACACATCAGTTTTCTGTAAAACATGCATATTATAAGCAAAACAACAGCTTCTAGCTTCTCTCAAATCCGTGAATCCTGAAAGAAATTTTCTCCATCTATGAATTAGATTACGTGATTTTGTGGGACTTTGATTCTAATGTTTTAACACCACCACTGCTGGAATATAAGGCTAACCTAACTCTTTAATGTCTTTCCTTCTCCTAGGACTGTGTCATGAACAATGTCACCTGTACTCGGATCTATGAAAAAGTAGAATAAAAATTCCATCATCACTTTGGACAGGAATTAACTAAGAGAATGACCAAGCTCAGTTCAATGAGCAAATCTCCATACTGTTTCTTTTTTTTTTTTCATTACTGTGTTCAATTATCTTTATCACAAACATTTTACGTGTAGCTGTTTCAAAGTGTGTTGGATTAATTAGGATCATCCCTTGGTTAATAAAGAAATGTGTTTGTGCTAATACATGTTGTATGCATTCTTTAAACCTTACAGGAAATTAGCGATGAGTTTTAATAATTATTAACTGAGTAAAGGCTGGGGAAGTCTTGAGGGTACTATAGTAAGATGACACTCTAGCAATTTAGATAGCTACTCTTACAGGAAATACTGTACCAATTATTTAAGCTTTCCCTATACTATTTGAAGTTTGTATGAACTCAGGAATCTTGAATTTCTGGCAGAGACCATTCTCAATAAAAGGTGGCTACAACATAAACTTTATGATTCAAATTAGAGCAAAGGTTTAATTAACCAGCATTGACTAAAATATTTTTTGTGTGTATTTATATACACATACAAATAATATACTATGTATAGAATAATCAGAATTCTAGTGAGTCTCTGTTTCTTGGTCCCCAATGCAAATATCCACAGTTCACATTTGGAGAAGCAGGCTGTTGGCCCTGAGCTAAAGCTTTGCATAAATGATCTTTAGGGCAAACGTTAAAGGGCTAGTACGACTATATCCATTCTGCAAGTAAGAAAACTGGTTTTTGACTGACTAGTCCAAGGATAGGAGGTAGTAGAGCTGGATTGACAACCTATATCTCATCAAGTCTACTCAATGTGTTCAGTCATTCTACAAGGCTGCCTCTTTGCAGCTTGTGCAGAGATCTTGTCTAAAGTCCCTAAGTATACTAATTGAGACTTCTGAAACCACCCTCCATGTGAAGAAATGTTAACTGGTAAGCATCTTCTCTTAGGAATTACCCACTGCTAGCAGTCAGTGGAGGTTTTCAACTCACTGATACTCTAGTCCTGTGCTGTCCAATATGTAGCTATGAGTCATATATGGCTATTGAACTTTTGAAGTGTGACTAGTCTGAAATGAGATGTACATAGGGGATTTCAAAGGCTTAGTATACAAAGTAAAATGCCTTAATGATTTTTTGGTATTGATTGCATATTAAAATAAATTATAATAATAAAGTTAATTTTACCCATTTTTTTTAATGTGGCTAGGGAAAATGTAAAAATTGCATGTACTTCCATTTCAGTCACGCTTATTTCAGTCTCTATGCTAGGGTTCTTTGATCCACATTTTCTGCTTCTCATAATATGCGTTTATTGACATTCTCCCTGAACCAAACATGATTGAGAAGTGGAAAATGTGGATGAACGAAGAACCCTAGCATAGAGACTGAAATAAGCATGATTGAAATTCACATAGGAAGTCTAAGTCAACACTGTCCAATAAAAAATACGACAAAAATGAAAGTTAGCACAGGACCCATAATATAGTAAAGGCTTAATGTCCCACCAGCACTGCCCAATATAACTTTATGTGACACGGAAATGCTCTTTAATATCTGCACTGTCCACTGAGGTAGCCACTAGCCCTAAGTGAGTATTGAGCACTTGAAATGTGTTGAGTGCAACTGAGGAACTGGATTTTTAATTTAGTTTTTATTAACTAAAATGTAAATTTTAAGTACCCACATGTAGTTAGTGACTCTTAATTTGGACAGCATGGGATGTTTGCAAAATTGAAGTTCTTATGTTTAAAAATTTCAGACCTGTTCCTCTTGCAGTATTCTCTCTCTGGATTCATGGGAATGTCATGTTTCCAGTGTTTAGGCTAAATGTCTAATCTTTGATTATTTCTTTCCCATCTTAAATCTAATCCATTAGCAAATTATTTGTTTTACCATCAGAATATACCTAGAATTCAATTGCTTCTCACCTCTTTCACAGATACCACCCTCATTCAGACAACACCATCTCTCCCCTTCTCTGCCATTTTGCAACTTTATTCTCCCAAAGCTATCATTTTAAAACACAGGTTACAACATGTTACTCCTCTGTTGAGAACCCTCTACTGGCCTCTCATTTCACTTAGGAGTAGAAGCTAAGATCTTCATAGAGTTTCTATCTGATTTGCCTGTGTCTTTCACCTTCCCAGCACCCCTCCTTATTTCATCTGCCACTGTCCCCTCAAATATTCCCTCAAACCTTGGCCAATGTTGATGCAAATGTGCTCTTGCCTCAGGGCCTTTGCACTTGTTTCCTCGGCCTGAAACACTCTTCCCCAAGGAGGCTGCAGCCCACACTTTCTCCCTTCCTTAGAGTCTCTTCCCTAAAGGTCACCCTAGCAGTGAGTCATTCCCAGACCACATGATGCATCAGAGCTGCCACTCCTCCCCCGCATTCTCTCCCTGAGCTGCTTTATTTTTTCCTCATAGTCCTCACCTTTATCATCAGTTCTAACTATACATTTACTTGTTTTATCTCTTAATTTTTTTGGGTATTGTCTGTCTCTGCAATAGAAAGTAAGTCTTATGAAGAAGGGACTTTGTTTCTAACAGTACACACACTCTCTAGTATGCAATTAGGGGAGAACCTGACTTACAAAAGATGCTTCATACATATTTGTTAAATGAACGAATTTGTTAATAAATTAATGGATTCCTGACGTCTATGTAGCACATTTTATATTATTTAAGACCCGTTATGATATTGCTTCAATCGACTTTATTAAAACCATATTTCTTACTTTTTTACAAATGATTCAACTTTAATCAGGTCTCTTACCCCAGAATAGTGCGCTTGATGACTGTGGGATAAGGATGTTTGAAATAGGAAGTAAGGAATTCAGCCTTGCTTCCAAACTGGCATGTCATGGCACTCTGGCCACCAAAAAATAGGCTACCCAGTTTTGATCAATGTATACAGTTTATTTTACTGCAACCAAGCACTCTGCTAACAGGCAATGCCTGTCAAGCAGAACTGGACCTGAGGTGTTTGTAGAACATGGTGAAGAATATGATTTGCCAGAAGAAAGACAGTTTAACACAAGTCAGCCTCTCACTAAAGAAAAATATACAGGAGAAAGATGACAACTTTTGTATTATGTCCTTGAGCACCATGAGGGCATCAACTGTTCTCTTCAAGTGTCAAGGATTTCTTGAGTCTCAATCTCTTTAACTGTTTTCTCAAAATTCTGGTATTTGAAATTGTGCTATGACCATGAAAAGGCTGAGAACCATCTTGTTGGCACCTAGATTTTGATGCTGCCAAGTCAACTTAGACTATTACTCAATTCTTGCTGCTCATAAACCAATGATTCTTAATGCCTATTCCATTTTGAATTCACTTTTAAGTTCATGAGAATAATTATAGTGTTTCCTTGGGTTTCATGAATTCTCTGTTCTCCTTTTCTAACACTGCCCTCTTAGAATTCACTGCCATTTGGTGGGTCATGGGTGAAGTGAGTTGGTAGAAAGGGCTGATGAAGCTGGTGAACTGGTTTGGAAAGCTGAGTGACATGTATTTTGAAATGTTGTGAAAGGCAAAGTGGTATGACTTGCAGCTGGTCACACAGCAACTGGAAAATAATTGGAGTCTTATGATAACTGGTCTGCCAGGCTCTGTCACCAGATCTTATATAAACATTTGCTTTTGATCCAGTCTCTCTCCTCCTCCCATGGCCTCCTCCCCTCATACCTCCTTCTCCCATACTGCATACTTGGAAAATGTCTGAAAAGAGGATAATTCTTTTTTTTTTTTTTTTTTTTGAGACAGAGTCTCGCTCTGTCGCCCAGGCTGGAGTGCAGTGGCTGGATCTCAGCTCACTGCAAGCTCCGCCTCCCGGGTTTAGGACATTCTCCTGCCTCAGCCTCCTGAGTAGCTCGGACTACAGGCGCCCGCCACCTCGCCCGGCTAGTTTTTTGTATTTTTTTAGTAGAGACGGGGTTTCACCGTGTTAGCCAGGATGGTCTCAATCTCCTGACCTTGTGATCCGCCCATCTCGGCCTCCCAAAGTGCTGGGATTACAGGCTTGAGCCACCGCACCCGGCCGAGGATAATTCTTAAGGAACGTTTTTTAAAGGTGCTGGCAACACATGGCATGGTGAATAAGATAGAGTACGGCGAAGGTTCTTTCTGATGGAACTGACATTCTAGTGTGAGATGATGTGTCTTAGTCTGTCCTGTGCTGCTGTGACAGAATACTTGAGACTGGGTAATTTATAAAGAACAGAAATTTATCTCTTATATTTCTCGAGGCTGGGAAGTCAAAACTTCAGGGATCTGATCTGGTGAGGGCCTTCTTGATACGTCATCCCAAGGCGGAGGGTGGAAAGACAAGAGAGAGTAAGAGAGCAAGAGGGGACTGAAATCACTTTCACAACAAACCCACTCTTGAGATAACCACCCCACTCCAGAGATAATGACATTAATCTATTCATGAAGGCAGAGCCGTTGTCACCTAATCACCTCTTATTAGGCCCCACCTCCTATCAGTGTTGCATTAGGGATTACATTTCCAACACATGAACTTTGGGGAACACAGTCAAACCATAGCGTGATGAAACATACATGATTCAAATAAATGGCAGGGCGATAAGTGCAGCTAAAAATATAAAACCAAGTAGAGTGATAAGGAGTGAAAGTGGTGGAATCTGTTAGGTTGGTGCAAAAGTAATTGCAGTTTTCTGCCATGACTTTGAAGTGCAAAAACTGCAATTATGTTTGCACCAACTTAATACTTTATATGGGATGGTCAGGGAAGGCCTCTTAGAAAAGGTAGTGTTTGAACTGAGACCTGAATGAGAGAAGTAGGTAGGCAAGTGAACATCTGGAGCAACAGTGTTCTAGGCAGAGGGATTAGGCGCTGCAGAAGCCCTGAGGTGGGGACTGACAGAACCACAGAGTGACAGAAACTTATTGAAAGAGGAGCAATGTGGAGCGAGATGCGGTCTGAGATTTAGGTGAGAAGCAGAGTGTGTAAGACCTTGTAGCTCCTAGTGAGGGATTTAGGTTTATCTAAGGACCCAGGGAAACTACCGAGAGTATCAAGGAGGAAGTGACAGATGACTGTTTTAAAAAAGATGTTCTATTTTCACTTTTGCGATGAGATACTGATATTTGGAATAACTTACCAAAGACACTGAAAATATTGGACAAAATTTGGTTTTTAATCGCCTTAAAGTGACAATGAGCTGACAAAATCATGAGGAATTATG